CAATGAATCCCGATTCCACTTTTTTCTTTCTCGATTGAAAGCCTTCACTTGTTTCAAGTATTTGGATTGTAATGCTTCATTGCAATCATTTAGCTTAGATATAGACTTTAAACTGTGATGTAAAGATTCTTCAAGTTCTTGTTCCTGCATACTACCAAGGCGATGCCCTTTATCAAAATCTCGTAGTATATATACATTGGCCATATATCTTTGGTTAAACTATATGTAATATACATAAGATAATTTATAAATTTTAGAATCTGATATAAAGTATTGAAAAATATCAGGTAATTACTAGTTACTTTAGAAAATTATTGCAAAATAAATATATAATTACCGGTTACTTAGAAGATTATCACACATTGATTATATATAATTACCGATAATTTTTGAAAATTATATATATATTTTTTTATAATTAGAAAAAAGGATGGAATGCATAACTGTAGAATATTATCGTGCCGGAACGCCTTATTTACCTCCAGAAGCTATTGAAGATATTATTCAATCTCGAGGGACAATTAAAAATGCATGTAAAAAAATGGTTGATAAATATGGTACTTCAACACGTCGAATTTATGAAATTTGTAAAAGGCATGCACAAGGATTATCTCAGCGTAAGCAACAAATGATACAAAACACCTTTTCTTCTGAAATAGCATTTATGCCTAAAAATAATATCTCAAATGAGCAGACAAAAAAGAAAAGATCTAGTTCCAGATCAATTTACTTTTCTCACTTGTCTTCTAATAGTGGAGAGAAGATAAGAAAAATAAGTGAAAATATTATGAATGATGACATTCCTAATACAGATATAGTTGCTCAAATTGAGTAAGAAATAAAAAGAAAGGATAAAAACTTAGCTAGTAGCGCTCGTATAAAATCTACTACTTAATCTATATTGATTTTATCTGCAACAAACTCAATAATATTACCACACTTCACTTGCAAAGCTTCATTACAACTATTAAGTTCTGTAATCGATTTAAATACATTATAAAGACTTTTCTTATACTTCTCGCAATTTATGCAATTTTTTTTAATGCTGTATTGTTATCATCGCTATCTACATCCTGCGAGATTTGATCAGGTATTGAAGTATTGGTATCTTGAGATGTAGTTGCACAATTCACCTCTAATTTATTTTTAACCTTGTGCATATTGATTGGGATAAAGAACTCCTTACCATTGCACTCCAACCTCAATTGGCGATTCGATGCAAGTAGATCGTAATTATGTTTATCAAGCAAAGTATTAGGTAAAATCAGCATTGGCTTATGATGTTTAACAACGGCAAAATCAGAATATATAGTACAACCTGAGGTGAAAGTTACCGGCACATTATGGACGATTCCAATTGATTCAGTAGGTGATGTAGAAATTCCGCTGAGATCGTGTTTTTCCTTTGTATCAATTACAAATTTTAAACGTTTAACAATGTCTTCAGTTATAATTAGAAAATTTGCACCAGGATCAACCGTGGCTGCCAGAATTACTAATCTTTTGATTTTACACTTTATGGTAACAACATCTGTGGCTGTATCTTTTTTCTGAACGAAATCAATTTCCATAGGATCATCTATAGTCTCTTCTCCCTCTGACTCAGGTATTTCCGGAACTGGTTCTCTATACTTTTTGGAGTCTGATACCTGGGTTGCTGATGCCGAATTGGATGGATTTTCAATTTCAGATTTCAGTTTCTCTAACCAATGTGCGGGTAAAGCTTTCTCAAGCATATCTAACATGATCTTTTGGAGAGATTTATCAATAACAGTGGATTTATTTCGTGACTTATCAGAATTGGGAATCTCTTTCTGGTCCCTCTTGCAAGGCTTGGATGAGTTGGAAACTCGAAGCTTTGCTTCCTCTTTTCTGATTTTGGGTTGCTTTGATTTCTTCTTAGATGGCGATTTTATAGAATTACTCTTATGCTTTACTTTTTTTTTGATATAACAGCATTTATAATTTTCGAAATTTCAGCTTAAGTTAAGCCATTCTCAGAATTAGAATCTGACCCAGAACCAGATTCAGATTCGGATTCAGAGTCAGAATTAGAATCAGAATCATTATCGGAAGAGTTAGTATCTGAATTTGACTCAGAGCTCGAATCTACAGTGGTGAGATTAACTTTGCCTTTCTTGTTAGATTTATTTCTAGACTTGCTCTTTTTCTTATTTTTAGAACAATTGCGAGAATTATGTCCAGTTTTGTTGCAAATAGAGCATCTGTGTTGCGACTTCACAGCTTTTTTAACAGCCTTAGCTATGTGCAACTTCAACTACTTCTTCGTGAGATTGGCCAATTCTTCATCGTAGTTAACTTCAACTTTCTTTATTACTGGTTTTGGAGGCAAATCGGGCTTGGGGATAGGAACAAATTCCTGAACCTCCCCAGTAATCCATTGTACAAATCTATCCATTAATATATCTTGCATTTTTTGATATGTGCCGGGAGGTTATGGTCCGTAATAAGGTTGAGATGGCTGTATTTGCTGAGATAGCTGTATTTGTTGAGAAATGGGTTGTGGAGATGTAGATGTTATTAATTTAGATGCCGATTTATAACTAGACTGGAGTATTTTACTAACCAATCCTAATTTTTTCTCTGCTCTTCGCATTTCAATGCGCTCTAAAATTTCAAAAAGATCAGCTAATGGTTGCTCAGTACCAATGCGTTCTGCATCATCCTCCAAGTCTGGAGACAAACCTCGAAGAAATTGGCCCTTAATCTGTTGCTCATCGAGATTAAGCATTTTTCCATATTTTAAGAGTTTCGAGTAAAATTCTCCTATAGGTTCATTTTCTTGAGCTAATGATCTATATACTAAATTGCGTTTCTCGCTTATTACTGTAAGGTATTCATTTCTGAGCCAATATAATGCTTGACCAATTCGAATATCACCAAATACTATAGGATTACCATTACTTGCATTAATTGCATTAACAGGTCTATCTGATGGTCGCCCCCCAGCCAGGTG